TAACGAACGAGCCGAACACGAGCTGTTCACGAACAACGAGCTTTTTTGACAGCGCTAGTTGCCATCGACTTTACTTAAGAGATTTTGTTTGTAGTGATCACACTTTTCAGATGAGATTTTTTGCATTATCGTGGCATTTTTAAGAAGACACTTCTTGTGTTGTTGAGATGCAAATATATAGAGAATCTCAACCTCATAGAAATCAAAGGAAATACCAAAATTTTGAGGAAGCGATGACAACACTATTTGAAGATGAGTTGACTCTTTCTATGAGGTATGAAAGACCTAGCTTATGAAGATTCACCACGTCTTTAGCGACCACAAGAAGGTGAATGGCTACAAAGCAATAAACATATTATAATTGGTGAATCAATTAGAAAAGTGTTAGGATGACTTATTCTCCATGAAGGTTTTCATCTCCCAGCAACACTAAAAAGTAATGGATATAAGGGCTAGCCTCGACCAGAGCATGGAGATTTTACAGACCCTTTAAGCAAGGATGTTGGTTCTTTAAGAAGAGAAGATGAAGCTGGATCACATTGCTTTGGCATATAATTTTGTCAATGCTTCCAACAAAGGTTTTATCCATCATACTGTTATATTAAAGCCGACTTTAAGAATATGCATTAGATCCATAATCTAAAAAATCTCCGTTGTGGCTTGTGAAGTGAATAATATGAAGGTGTCTCGTAAGATTTAAGGCGTACTTCTGAAGATGAGAATGACATTAAAGTTGATTGATGTCTTTATTTTTGGTGTCCGCTTGTAGCTTTTGTACTAGTCTGCATTTGTTCGTGCATCTTTATTTTACGCTTTTTCTTGCACTTGTATCGATGCTTTGTTGTAATCATTGATATTATCTAGTGGTTTTTACTTGTTGGCTATCTTTCCCCGAGTTTGAAGTTTTACTTTCTCATTTCTGCTCGAGCTTATGGAAGTTGACTCCGTGTGATTTGCCTATCGAAGGAGATAAAAAAATGTCAAAAGCCTTGAGTCAAACATTGCCCAATTTGAGTGTTGTCTCCCAATAGGAACTTAGTGAAATCAAACTCCTTCGAGTTTTATAGCCCTCTGAGGGTCTTTGACTTCTCAAGTATGTAGAACTCCACAAGCAAAGTTAGCAAATGCACTTAATATAAAGAAAAATTATGCACCTTTTTATGCCTTTAGAAGCATGCACTTTTCGAGGCTTTTGATGTAATTGCAATGTTTGAGGTTTGTGCCTTCTAAGACCTATCCCTTTCGAGGCTTTTGATAAAGTTGAACCTTCTGAGATTTTTGATGTTCCAATGCTTTTTGAGGCTCGTAGCCTTCTGAGGTATTTGATGTACTCGTACTTTTTGAGGCTTGTAGCCTTCTAAGTTCTTTGAGTGGAGACCCTATCAGCCATTTGCTATCATTTAGTCTTTCTAGTGAGGCTCTTGTTTTCACTAGTAGTTTCCCATCAAGACTTGTCTCCTGAGCTTGTCTTTCAAGTCATGGTAACTTCCCATCGAGACTTATCTCCTGAGCTTATTTTTTAGAAGTACCATAACTTCATATTGAGTTATGCATCATGGGCTTGACTTTCAAAGGTATGACATCTTCCATCAAGTCTTGTGTTTTAGGCTCGACTTTTCAGGGATAATTATCTTCCCATTGAATTTTGTCTCATGGGCCTGACTTCTAGGAATATGAGTAGAGATATTGTCTATCATTTGTCCTCAAGGAGTCTTTCTACACACAAATCTTTCACAAAAGAATAAAGACATATTCATTGATAATAAAGAAAAGTTATTGAACAATAGTTCTCTAAAACAATAACAAAATTCTTCCTAAAAAGAAAATTAAAATCTTTTACTAAAATAAGATAACTTATAATTTTACTTCTCATTCGATAATCCCAAAGATTTTCTACTCTCATCACATTATTCTTAGAAGTAGTGATCCAAGTGACTCAGACGCATCAAACATTCAATTTCTTCCATTAAGTAAGAGTATCTTTATATTGAATGCTTTTTTACATGGTAGAAATGAGAATATTGTGACTAGTCTCCACTATTTTAGTTTTTTAATGGTCTTGACCACTTGATGACATCTTTATCTTTGATGGCCATTAGGATGTTGACACGTGAGGTGTTGAGTGATATCTACTCTTTTTCTAATTCAGGCTCACATCATTTTTTTTGCGACTAAAGGTGGAAATTCATAGTTCCCCTATGATTCAAACTTCTTTCATGTGAGGTTTGATCGAAATTCCCAAAGTTATTCTTACGTTTGCCACAAAATCACTTGAATTACTCCTTTTGTGCACTGATGGCCTCATCTGTAGTGATTTGAGCTTCGACAAGATGGACAAGATCAACATTTGAGTGGACTGTCTATCACATCAATGACAAGTAGAAAGATCCTAGACAGAGCCTTCCAAGAAAATTCTACTCTCAATAGTTCAGGATCCATCCCTGGGATTTGATAAGCTTTCATAGAGAACCGACAAAAGTTTCTTGAGTGATTTCCCGTCTTTTTGGTGAGTTCTTGATAAACAAGCTAAATTTTTTATGATCCTCATCTTTGCTATGAATTGCTCTATAAATAGCTTAACAAACTAGTTAAAGGTATGGATGGTCTCCTTTCCCTTTGAGAGAGTAGAATGAAGTGCTAGTTTTCCCTTTGAGCGGAGCAGGGAACACTTGATAGAGAAGCACATCAGAGACACATTGAATATGCATGATGGTTTGATAGTGGTCAATGTGCTTGTAGGGGTCAGTTACCACTTCATAAGAATTAATTTTTGGGAGTTTGACATTGTTGGGATGTGGTTTTGGAGGATAGCCTCGACCAAGGGTGAAGACTTTAAAAATTACGATAAGCAGGGAAGTGATCCCTATTCCTCATAGGAATTCTTATCAAACTAGGCGGTGTAGCTCATCACAGATCAAGTTTTCTAAAGCAAAAACAAGAAGCAGCTGACCCAAGTTATTTGTGAGCACGAGAGGGTTATCAGTTGGTCTAGCTATGCAAGACGGATTAGTGGGACTCGCAGTATCTGTGCGGAGATGATGTCATAATGAAAAAAGATGGTCCACAAATCTTGACAAAAAGACAGTCAAATGCCAAAATATAAAAATAAGATCGACACTATATAGGCAGTTGCACCTACATAAGTGCATTGTTAGATTTACGCTAAGAATAAAAACATTCATCCATGATACCATCTTCTCATTTTCAGTTCACTTGCAGTCAACACATTGACAAGCATGACTTGTGAGTGCTCCACATATTCCTTGTTGAATCTTCTCCAACATGCTTTGATAAAAATTGAAGCGCCTCTACATGAGAGTTAAATGTGAGTAAACCCTCACTTTCTAAGCTTGCCTTCATTAGATGCATTACCCATTGTTTTTCACATCTCAGATGTCTTGTTATTAGTCTGACTATTTAGATATCTCTATGTTCATCAGCAACTTACTGCTTACAACATTTCAAAGTCAGTCTTTAAAAATGACAATTTCTGTACTTTTGCGGAGTAGAAAAATGTAAATGAAATATTTACATTTTCAAATTATCCAAGCTAGTTTGTTTCCTGTACTAACGGATATAACAAAATGAATGTCTTTAATGTAACCTCATTTAGCATTCATTCTGAATTAATGGAGAACATGCATGCTTACAAACAATTTCAAGTAATTGTGAAATTTACTATGTAACACAGATTATTCATTTAATTAAATTTTTTTTTTCCACATAAGCTGTTTACAAAACGCACTAACCAAACAGCTAAACTGCTTATTCAGAACAGGGGCAGAATTGTCAATTTTTCGGAATCAGTTGTTTTCCATAAGCGTCAACCAAACAGCCAGACAGCTTATCCGGATCAGCTGATAATCAACAGATTATCAGGATAAGCTGCTTATCAGCAGAAGCTGGATAAGCTGCAGCTACCCCAAACAGACCCTTTATCTTCTATAATTTTATTTTGTGTTAAATAGCTAGATATTAATTTTATATTTACTAAATTAATTGTTCATTTAGATCCATCAAGTAATTGTTTGGCTGGGCTCAACTCGATCATAAATTAAATAAGCATAATTTTTAAAATGCATATGATCTAAGAAACTTGATATTAAAAAATTAAAAAAAAACATATAATATATTATGAATTAAGTCAATAAATCATCATTAAACAATTATTTTATATAATTACCCAAGTAAATAATAATAATTATTTACTTAATGATGATTAATAAAGTTTAATCAAACAAATATTTAGACTTTGAATGAACATACATGGACAATAAATGATACATAAATAAATATACCTTTTGAATTATTTTAATTCAATGCCAACTGTTGGTGCTCTTTTTCAATGATGGTTTATCTCAAGGCCACATAAGAGAATAACAATTATATATTGATTAATTCCATGCCTTCATCCAAAGGCATAGAAAGATTGTATGTAAATAGCTTTTAGATGTTGCTCCACATGGATCAACCTTTTGAACAATTCACATGAAATGCGGTCTGTTTAAAATTAAATATAATAATAAATATAAATAAAATTGTATTTACATACCAACCACCCTATTCCTATTTATTTACATAATTAATACCTAAATTTTGTACTTGATATTTATACCACCCAAATGTCTCATGAAAAATTATTTCGTACAGACAGCATATGCAGATCACGACCGTCGATCAGTTTTTTTTCTTTTTTTAAATATAGTACAAATGGGACCCACCGAAATACACATTTGCTCTGATAGAGTGTCGAGATAGGACAGCTTATGCATCTTTACATATGCTGTTTGTATGGAATAATTTTTCATGTCTCACACCACATCAAAGCATCACTACTAGTATTAACTTTCTAAGAAATATAGAATTATAGGTATTAGATATGTAAATAGAAAGCAATTTTGTGGCAGGTATGTAAATTTTTTATAATCATAATTGTAAAAATCTCTTTTTTTTTTATCTTTCCAAAAAAAAAAAAGAGGAAATCCTTTGATCGTCAAATCTGTTTTGATGCATAGTTGCCCTTAGAAAAGAGAGAGGAGAACCCAAGCTCAGGCATTTGAATCATTACCATCGTCCCATGGTCTCTTCTCGGCTCTCGTCTCGACCCTGTCTGCATGATTCATGTTATGAACATTGCATTCTCATCTCTCCTCCCTCTCTCTCTCTCTGTTGCATGTTTTGTAGTAACAAACTTCTCACTACCCACTCTCTCTATCCATCTTCATCCCTGCCTTTGTTTTTGACTTGTCTGATCTCATGTCCTCATCAGTCATGAAAGATTTCATCTTGCTTTGATTAGTTCATCTTGACTCTCTTTGTTCTTCCTCGGCCATGGGGCCCGTTAGAGGTTTCAAGAAGAGGAGGAGGGCCGAGAAGAAGGTTGAAGCTACGGCGCCGACGGCTGTAGGCGAGTATTCACGCGATTGGTGGGACGACTTCTCGAGAAGAATTACAGGTTTCATTACTTGTTATTTTGCTCTTTGGGCTTTCTTTAATGAGGTTGTTGTTACTGCTCCCCTGCGCATGTCTGATCAATGGGACCCAGTCCGGCTCTTTTGTATAGATTCAAGCTTTTGGAATTGTGTGGTTTCGTGATTGTTGGTGTGTTAGATTGAGTTTCTCGATGGATTTGATGTTTGTGCCGCATTTGAGTTTGAATTGGAATTGTATTGCGAGTTGGTTGAGGTTGGGTGGGGATGGCATGCAATGGTGCCTGCTGCAACAAACTGTGGTGCTGCTGCTTCTGCCGATAGTTTATTGGCGAATATTAGGTTGACATTTGAGCGGTTGCGTTGACTTTAATGATGCGATTGTGGATTACTTTGATGATGTGATTATGGATTATGAGTAAGTCTGGAGTTCTGCACTTTCATTTGTTGTTGTTGTTCATTCTGGACCCTTGTGGTTTTGGCATCAATGAGTTGGTGGCTTGTGCTTATGTTTCAGTTGCTAGATTTGACATTGGAGTTTATGTATGGATCTTTACTTTATTCGGGATTGAAATTGGTAGGAACGAAGAGATCATGTTAGGAAATATAACTTTTAGAAGAGTGGATAAAATGTCAATTTGATGTGTGATTGAACCCAATACCATCATATACGTTGACAAATTATGCCCTCATGTGAGCGATTTCAATGTCAAGTAGCACTCCTACTCAAAAGCAATATTTTTGATGTCAGCAACTATTAGGCACTATGAATTCACTATCTAAACGGCATGGAGTCTTCATCAGAATCATTCACCTTGAACCTTGCTCAACCATGGTGTAATGCACCCTACATTGATTAAAGTACCATATCCCATTCACATGCGATGATTGGTTGCAACTTTGATTTACGTTAAATAGTATTTATTAAATCCGATAAATCCAGATTTATCAAATTCAATGTGTGACGGAGATGGAGCTCGAGTGACGACGGAATAAATTCGCCTCGCAATCTGATTCAGTAAATATGGATTTACATCGTAAAAGACACTGAATGTGAGAACACGAGAAAATTCAATTTAACAGAGCGTTAGATTTAATTTTCATTTGTTTAGAGTTTGACTAGATTTAAGTTAAACTGTGGCTAAATCTCATTAATAGTATGTTATCAAACACCGCCAAACTTTAGATCCCGACACCACTTGTTTGGGGATGTTGCTCAAAGTGGTAGCAAAATTTGGCCTGATAAACTAACTTTCAAATTCATTTTCAACTCAAAAACTTAGAAGTATAGGTGAGAGCCACTACCAGTGTATTTGCTCCAAGATAATTTTCACCTTAAGTGTAGAATTGAAATTGATAATCTCATTGGTCTTAGCGAGGAGTTTGGATCCTCAGATTGATCTTGTAGAAGTGATCAGATCTCCAATGCCTAGTAGAGGAGTTAAGATTTACAGACCCAAGTTAGCCTTGGCTTAAAAAAAGAATGTCTAGAAAAAATAAATTACTCTCAAATATTTTGGTCCTAACTTAAAGAAAATAGATATTAAGGAAGTCAAACTGGCTCAACTAAAGTTGCATAAATAGTTATCATTGAATACTTTTCGCTCAAAGTATCATATATTTCAGAAACTTTGGCTACCCTACTTTTGGGAGTTTTGGGTAGACCTTTTGTTAGAGAAACTTTGCTTGAGAACTATAACCTTATGAACATAAACTAGTAGCAAGTTTATTCTTGTCTCATTATCCTAGTTGAATTCACATGATCTTCTGTGCTAAATATATCTTTATTAGCATCATTCATTGTATGAAAGAATCTTTTAGTAAATTTAGGAATAAGAAATATCCTAGTTCCTCATATACTCTTTGTATAACCAGCCTCACCATTTAGAAATATCTCCATTATGTTCTTAAATTTTCTCGGCATTATTTACCTCTTTTGCATCTTGTTAGGCATTCTGAACTAGCATTACTTCTCTGTCAGTGTTTGGAGGAAATAGAACCATCAAAACTTAAACCCATTGATAATGTAAATTAGAATTTTGATATTGAAAACTATGCATTTTACTGATGACCTCTATTAGAACGAGCACCACGAACTTACACACCATGTTAAGATCCAATGTTCTCTTGTGGGCATATACGACATGGAAAGAATCTTGATCAATGTGCACTGTGAGAATAGATTTTTCTGCTATGTCATGTTAAATTTTATCATTGAGTTCCATCTTTTGTCTTTATGTGCTTGGTTTTGGCTTGATATACTTTATTGCTTTTTTAGCAAGTATGTAAATATAATCATTGCTTACTTAGCAAATATAATCATTTTCGTCTTCCTGATTTTATTGCATTTTTGTTCAAACTAATTCATTGCATGCTTTCTATTGTCATGGTTCCTTGGGATTTTGTTTTGCCATAGATTTTTTAAATATCTTTAAATATCTTTAACTAGCAAGCGCCTTCCAATCTGTACAACTGTTAATCAAGGTAAGTATGATATCGTAACTGTTTAAAAATACAAGACAATAATCACCAAGCTTTCTGCATTCTATTAATTTTTTAATCAATTTAAGTGCCTTTGCTTAATTTATAAATGAAATAAATAAACTGGCTCCATCTTCCACTTGCATTAGTTGAAAGGGATATCAAGCCAGTAAACAGTACCTCGTTCATGCTGAACTCTATGAGTAGATATGGTATGATGCATTGTTGATGCTGAGTTTGTTTTGCTTCTCAGTTTGGTGCATCTGTCCTGAAGCCTGGAAACCTCCAATGGCCCTTAGCAAAAACTTCTATTATGGGTTTTAAGCTATTGTTGATAAAACAATAACTTTGATGACACTCATAATGGCTTTTCTTCCTCTCCACGTTTAACAGAAGCTTTTGATTGTTTTTTCTATTAGATGAAGCTATTTGCTCAGTTCTTGACAATTAGGACTCTAAAAAATTCCCTATCAATACCTTAAATCTCAACAATGATCTCCTTAGTTATTATATGAAGCATCTTATATTCATCCTATGTTTCTAGGTGCTGAAATTATACTTGCCACCACGTAGTGCTTGGTATTGACCTTTTGCACAATAACTACAAACACCAAAAATTTACTAACTTAATCCATTTTCACCAGAAGCATCTTTTTTCACTTCAATTTATTCACATGTACATTCATATGTATCTATTTGATGAACACTCAAACCCAAATGGTGCAAAGTAAAAGAGATTATGCAATGATATTTTCATGATTTGTTCCAAGTTGGTCTATGTCCATGCGTAAGTACGTACATGCTTATGATTTCACTGTCAATCACTCATTTTCCTGCAAGTCGGTGGAGAAAACTTTCCACCACTTTTTACTTCAAGAGTACAAAGGCACCCATCAAAATGTCTTTTAAGAGAATTAGCAAAACCAACTGCAAGAGAAAAATAAAATTCTAAAACTAGGACATCTTATATGCATAAGTTCAGCTTTGTGATTATAGAAGAACCTTAAATCAGGTTTATGTTAGAGAGATTTGAGACATGAGCTCCTGACTTATCTACTTTTTAAGGTTACACACATGTTATATTTATAGGCGAGCAGTAAGGAAAATCATTAGCTTGAGCAAACAAGTATTGAATCTTCGAAATGTCAAAGAAAATAGTAGAAAATTGCTAGAATATCAAGCCATGATCATACCAATACAAGTGAACGGCGAGAGTTTTTGGAGCTTTGCCAAGTAGTAGTGGTATGTTATAGCAGAAGGTTGCTAAGGCCAATCCAAAAAAAATTTATGCTTTGTATCACTTCACGGCTGATAGAAATACTTAATGATAAGTTGAAAATTACAACATAAATTTTTAACTACTTAAAATTTTTTTTATATCTAATATCTTTACAAAATAAGTACGCTTTTAAGTTCAAAGCATAATTTAGTATAATGTAAAAATACATAGATAATTTATTTTAAAATATGTTTTTTTTTTTTTTTTGAAAATGGAAAAGAACAGGATATTCAGTTTGTTTAGATATTTAAGCTTGGTTGGTCTTAAACTGGACTTAGAAATTCTTGTATACATGGATAGAAGGTAGAATATTCTTAAATCTGAGCAGCTTCACATGCATGCCGTGGTTCGACAGTTTTGTCCTGAATGCTTGATTATGCTCAAATAAATCATTTATACATATTTCCAGTGTATACTGGTGATCATGGAAGCTAAGTTTACAATAGTTTGGTCTCAAAGGATAGCAGCCTCCCTTTTCTATGATGAAAAATTTAAATTGAAAAATAATATAAGGTTAAGATTAGAACAACCTGCCCTTGAAAGATTGTATTTGAAACTTAAAACAATTTTGCAAATGCGGTTTATATTGTTAAATTTTATGAAGTCCAATTCTATGTCAAATCATCACTTATAAAGTCCAATGTTGTGCCAAATCATCATTACAACACGATAAATTGTCATAAAAAGAGTATATCACGAGTGGCATTAAGTTGCATTCAAGTAGGATGGACATTGGAGTGGAAATTACTTGATTTGCAGTTGATTTATATAAGCTGAAGCCTACAAAGTTAAAGACACCCAATCATAATTGTTGCCGAGCGAATGTTGCATTATGCTTCATTCTTTCTTTTACTACAGTTTTTTCATATCGAAAAATGGCTAGAGGAAGCAAAAAACTGCATAATATAACTTCTAAGCATGTTAAAAAATTACAAGTAAATACCTACAATCAGGTGATTAGTACCGATCAACTCAATTTTAATAATTCCACGGGTAATGTGATCTTATTTGAAGTGATTTTGAATTTTAAAGTGTTCGTCTGAGTATGTTGTATTAGAATTATTAGCCTTATTAGTTGCGGTTATTATTAGTCATTATTATTTTAATTTATTATCTTTTATTTACTTTCGTTATCATATTTATGTATTTTCTATCTGATGTATTTTTGAATTTATGTCTTTCCTTTTATACGAGTCTTGTAATATTTATGTATACCCCTTTTCCTATCAATGAAACCTATCCCGTTATATTCTCAAAAGTTTAACA